GCCACACTAGCTACTTCCTACACGTTCCTTTGTGAGTGCCTCCACTCACTTCTTCAATGTTGGTACTACCCACAGGCATGTGTCGTTTTGTGAAGAATCATCCCAACTCACTCTCTAGTCCAATGCTTTGAAGGGTGCTCTGCTGACTGAGCCCCCCACATTGGAACATTATTTGGAAAGTTAGAATGAATGATATGTTCACACCAGCATCCGCAACTCTTTAGAAGACTCATCACTTACTTATATGCAACTCATAAAGTTTCCCACCTCTAGGATCTAGCCTGGGAAAAAGTCTAGAAATATCTATAAACAAACATTTGTGAATCAGTAGATTCAAAAATTCATCAAAAATAAAACTTAAAACCACTTTCCGCACAAACCAGGTTATTGCCCTTAGCCTTTTAATGAGAAGATTAATTTGGCAGTAGCCAGCCTCCCTCTTGATGGCCAGAGACTAATAGCAAGCAAATGCTTAGTAAACTATCTTGTTCTACATATCAACAAGTAGGACTTTGCTCATTTTTTTTAATGGTTTAAAAACCGTTTATCTTCTTAGCCATTAAATATCAGAAATATAACATTTTAACTGTAGAGATATGACGTGATCTCTTAATGTTGTTTCCGTTTGTTTCCCATGTTGATTGAAAAGGCATCTAGCCCAAGTACAGTGAATGATGTGGGACCTCAAAGCATAGCTCTGTATCGAGCAGGGACTGTAAAGTCCCACACTAAGGATGATTTGTTAGGCTTGAGAGTGAATCACCACATTCCCCTTAGGTCTTTAATCTACTCCAGCTCTGAGTGACGATTCCCAGGGCTATCAAGTAAGTTATGAATGGCAAGCTGATTCGTTAAGACCTATTTCCTCTCTTAGGGAGAAGTCAATTTATCTGCCTTTAAATCCACTGATCTAATCAGGCAGGCTTGAAACTGGTAAAGGAGGGGGGTAGAGCGTCTACTCAGCCACAGCCTGATACACCGGATGATGCTTGAAGAGTATCAGACATATCCGAGTGAATCAGAAAAATAACAAGTAATATCAAGGGAGGAAGAGATTCAGATGCTTCTACATCAATACAAAAATCAGGGGAGGAAGGCAAAATTCAACTTGAGTGTTAATAAAGGGCAGAATTCTCCCTCATAGACTTAAAAGCTAAATCTTACAAAGAAATATGGCAATGAAAAGTTGTATCTTTTTTTCCTAAACATACTTAAATTTTTATGGTGTGAATACAAATAAAATCATATGAAGAGACAAAGGAACATGAATATCCAACATAATGAGGAAGGAGAAAGTTGGAGGACTTAGGATCCTTGATGAAGTAGACTTCATTACAGTCAGTAACTTCTGCTCCACAGAAGACAATGTCAAGAGAATGAGGAGACTCGCCACAGATGGGGGAAAATATTTGCTAAAGGTAAATTTGAAAAAAGTGACTCTATTCAAAATATAGAAAGAGCTCTCTAAAATGAATAGTAAGCCGGGCACTGTGGCTCACACCTGTGACCCTAGCTACTAAGGAGGCTAGTGAGGATGTGAGCTGTGGGAATTCATTGTTTGGAAGATCATTGGGTCATTTCTCACAAGCCCAAACATACTCTTATCACAGGAGCCAGCAATCCTGTCTCTTTTTTATCCAAATGAGCTGAAAATGTGTTTCCTTATGGATGTCTATAGTAGCTTTATTAAAAAATGCCAGAACTCAGAAGCAACTCAGTGTGCAATAAATGAAGTCCAAGTTATAGACTACCTAGATGGTGGTAAAGGCAGAGCCTTACCCACAGTATGTGCAAATCTCTTTCCAACCCACCGGTACCACTCTTCCCCATGGCTCTTGACATGGAAAAAGCTTGCTGAACCCATAGAGTGAGTAGCAATGGATGGCTATCTGCCCAGAATTTCAAGATGAGACTAAACTGATCATCCAGGGCTCTGGGCCAGAAGCTACTTGCTTTGTAATATGTGGCACTCAAATAGAAACCAGATGACTACTAATAGCATGGTTAGCATCAGTTTCGGGAATGAAATGTTGGCAAGAGGGTGGCATGGATATACAGAGTGCTTCTGCTGTTTTTTCCTACCTCTGAAGATGAGAAGGAATATGTGAGCCACCAAGATTTCTAATTGCATTTACTCCCAACTAGTTTGTGCCCAAGTCTTTCTGTGGGTGTCAATTCTGTCCAGATATCAGTCACCTAGGGATTTTTGAAGAGCCCAGAAACACAGGCTTCCTCTCATTTAGAGCTTCTCACACTCCACTTGTCTGGAAAGGTCAGGCTCCCTCCTTTCCACAGGTCTGAAATTCTAATAGAGGAGTTTGGTGTCTGCAATCTTGCAATCTGGTTGTGGGAGCACACGGCTGTGCAGGCACACTCGAAGCTGAGTTCATGTTAACATTTGTGCAGGATTAACACATTGATTGTGGAAGGGGAGAGAAAGGGTTCATAGAAACTCAGTTCCTAGGGGCTGGGAAGGTGGTTCAGTGGTGGAGCGCTTGCCTTGCATGCCTGAGGCCCTGAGTTCGATTCCTCAGCACCACATAAGCAAAAAGAAAAAAGCAGGAAGTGGCACTGTGGCTCAAGTGGTAGAGCGCTAGCCTTGAGCTGAAGAGCCCAGAGTTCAGGCCCCATGACCGGCCCCCCCCCCCCAACAAAAAAGAAAGAAACTCAGTTCCTACCACTAACCACACTAGAAACTTCATTAAACTGTCCTTAAACCCAGCGACAAACTCCATTTAACTTCATTTGCATGCTGATATTACAGTAAGGCCACTGTAGCCTGAGCCTACACTCCTACACCAGGATGCATCCCCAAACCCGTGCATCTGTTTTTGCACACCTCATCTTCTCCCCTGTGGGACTTACTCATTTGGCAGACACCATCTACTTTGATGCTTCCAAGCTGTTGTGAAGAAAAGAGGCTGCCTAGCCAGGTTGTGTCACAAAGCTGCCAAGAGGAGGTTGTACTAATAGATGAACTGCCAGCTCAGAGAGCTGTGAACCTCATTATTCCACACACTGAAGCTATTGTTGAGACCCATAGATTAAAAAAAAAATTCAGTCAGCACTAAATGACCATCATTTCCACTTTATAAGACCCTCTCAACTCAGAGATCAAAAAGATCTTTTTAACCCACACAACTAAAAGGCACTGGGTAGCTGGGTGTGGAGGTGGATACCTGTAATCCCAGTGCTCAGGAGGTAGACACAGATTGAAAATTCAAAAGCACGGGGGGGGGGGGGGCGTACGGGGAGGGGGGGATGAGAAGGGATGGGAAGGGGAAACAAAGGAGGAGGCTAAAATGCTTGATAAGAAATGTACTCATTATCTTGCCCATGTAATTGTAACCTCTCTGTACAGTATTTTCACAATAAAAAAAAAAAAAATTCAAAAGCAGCCATACTGAGACCTTGCCTCTCAACAACAACAAATGTGATTGGCTGAACCGCACTAGGACACTTGAGTGTCCTTGCAAACAGGAATGTTCAAAGAATCGCACAAAAGCTGAGCCACATTGGGGGTATTTGTTAAAAGTTATATTAGCCAATGACAGAACCCCAAGAGAAGGATAAATTATAACATTTTGACCCAACATTTTAAACTTCTATTTTTAGTAAAGGGAAGAAAAATCAGATTTTCTTCCATGGTTTATTAATGGGCACAAGAGAGTGTTTTTAGAAAGTATTCTGTAAATATTTTCCCCCTGCTTTGCTGATTTCATCCCATTATTGTTACCACAACCTATTTAGTGGAGAGAAAGGAGGAGAGGGCAGGCAGCCCCCCACGGAGTACTCCCACTGGTCTTTAGGACTCACTTGAGGAAATGAACTTCACAGGTGTGCGGTGGGTTCAGGCTCACACTGAAAAGGACAAAAGTACCCGCGAGCAACACTTATGGAAGGCGCACTGTGTATGTCAAGCAGCATGCTAAGAGCATTTGGTATATAATCTACTTATTCATGATGGCCCAGTTTGGTCAGTGCAGTTCTATCCTCTGTTTATGGCTGGGGTCCTTAAGAAACTTGTCTGAGTCTGTCTAGCAAGAGACTTTTATACACCCCAAGTTCTTAGGTCAGAGTTGGGACAAACCTCAAAGGAGTAAAGCAGATTTGTGAATCCTGATGGACTGGATGTCGTATTTAATGAAAATACTTCCATAAACCAGAAAGGCTTATTCAAACAGCCATCCTTCTTCCTCCTCTCACCTCTGCTACGTAGTGTATGGTCTGCGCACTGCAGTAAGGGCATGTTAGAGACGCTCCCAGGAGCACGTTAAAAATGTGCAATCCTGGCCTCGCCTCAGACCGGCCTGTCTTACCTCTGCATGCAAAAGGGCATGAAAGTGGTATCTACTGTCACCTTCAACTGCTTACCCTGCAGTCAACACAGAACCATTTCTCTTCTCTTCACTCCACTGTGACCTCCATCATCAGAGCTGGGCCTCCATCTCTCCAGCACCTTCGACGGCAGCCAGAACACAAGGGTGATGGATATTTGAATGAGGGACTACGTGCAGATCTATGCAGAGTGGAGTGCACCGATACCTAACTGTGAAGGGCAGATTCGTGGGTAATGGAGAAGGGAGACTGGAGAAAGAAACACCTCTTTCACCTTTCAATAGCTTTGGCAATTTTTCAAAGGTGTGCACTGTGTCTTTTATGATAGTTGTAGAAACCACTGCAAAATCAATCACACCACAAAAGCAAAGTACATTACATCCCTTCCTTCTGGGAGATTTTAGGCTTTATTAACTTATCAGATAACACTGTAATAGATAAGAACCAACTCCTTTGAAGAACCTGTTTCCCTTAATTTTATGCCATCACAAAATTACACTAGGAATTATATTTTTGAAAGCTATACCATGTGGACTGCGGTGTGTTACTCTTGCAGTCCCACTTGGACCCTGAGAAGCTGCAGACCTTCCTCCTCAGTGTACAGGGACACCCACAGTGCAGGGACTTGCGGATTACAATCAGAGTCCACAAAAGAAAACCCATCTTTACTGATGAATCGTTTATTTGGACAAGACAAAAATGTCTCCACATGGTTTCCTTTTATACAGAAAGTGGAACATTTCAAATATATTAGTTTTTCTCTTTTTCAACAGAATTCATTTCAATCTGGTCCCAGAACAGCCTCTCGTATTAGGATTCACGTTTTAGTAACACATATGCACCCATGACAGCCAAAAGAGCATACTGTAAAGGAAACACAATGGAAAATTACTGTGAGGCTTAGAAGGAAATGTGGCATTAAGATGAAATCTTAAGTCAACAGTGGCAGAGGATAGAATCATAAGATAGTCTGCCTCCCCTACGCCTGTTCTCCAAATTAGCTATGGTTAAAGACCCCAAAGTCTATTGATGGACTAACGATCAAACACTCAGCAACACAACTAATGAAGTGCTCATTCCTGTGTAGCATTCTTACTGTTTTTCAAGTGATTTTCTAAAAACAAGTAGAGATGCATTTCCACTGAGGTTAACAGATAAACATCACTGGGTTTTTATTGTGTATACTTCTTTGTATGTTTGAAGATTCCAATAATAATAAGCAGTAACCACGTAAGCACCTTTTCAGAATACACTGTGCTTATGAAAGGCACAACAAGTACTTTAAATAGTTATTTTAAATGTCAATAATTTCAGTGACTATGTTAATTTGTAGTTAATTACAAAAACTGCAGAAAAATTCATAGCAAATGTTTGCAGGTGGCTGTTTCCTTATAGCTGCCCCCCCAATGCTCCAATATTCTTTAAATGAATAAGACACATGCATCAATGCCTACCTTGAATTTTGGATAGTCATTCATTATAATTGTAACCATACCAACATATGGCAAAAACCTAAATCGTGGGAATAAAAAGCAAGAAATATAAAAATAGTTTATAATAGACTAAGAGCAACATATGACTACTCTATAAATCAGCCTTAGCATGTCAATCCTCCACAGAAACACAGCTGTACAGCCAATATTCACCCCTGCCTCAAATGGCTTGATTAGTGAAATGCAGCAGAGCTAACAGACAGAGCTATTTTTCAAGCAGGCTTATGATTTGCGGTAGCAATACCACTTGTCTTCATTTGCTACAATTAAAGTAAGAGTTGGGCTATTTATACAAACAGAATAGACAACTTTCACAGTTCTAATTCTTATTTTCTTAGGAGAAAAGTTAAGTATCAGGTGGTGTATATTAAAAACTGTTGTTAGATAAAGCTTTTAAAGCACACACATGATTAGTCATTTAAGGAATCTTTTATCATTTTCCTTTCACCATTTTTCAGCTGCAACAAGTAAGTTTATTAGGCAATGAATATAAATGTGAATCCCATTTTTAACTTGTATGCTAATATGATTATGATCCCAGAGAGAGGAGATTCAGAGCCAGTAATTATGCTGACAAAATGAATATCAGCATGTAATCAGTTTGACCCAAATCTCATCATCTCTGCTACCAGGAAACAAGGCAACGCACCCACAGTACCCGCCAGCCGGCCGGCAATCAGTAGTTCAACCTCTCCTTTCCACAGCCTTTCACCATAGTGTTAGAAATACTAGCAGGAAACTCTCCTTTTCCCCTGCAGATATCCCAGTGGAAGTGCAAGAGAGGCCTTAAGCCACAATCTGATTAATGAGTCAACTTAGATACTGGTAGTCAGTCTCTCCAGTTTTCCACAGCTGGTGAACCCAGATACCAAGAAGACATTTCTAAGGAGGGTCACCAAGAAAGAAAAATTGCCTGTTTTTTTTTTTTTTTTTTTTTTTTTAATAATAAGAGGATATAATCTCTGTGCTGTACCGATCAGAAACAGAACTCACCGGTGAAACAACTGTGCAAAACTAATTTTAAAAGACTTAGCACAACACTTTTTAGTTTGAAAAGTTGATAAGAGGGCTGGAAAGGTGGTTTAGTGTCAGAGTGCTTGCCTAGCATGCATGAAGCCCTGGGTTCAATTCCTCAGTACCATACACAGAAAAAGCTGGAAGTGGCACTGTGGCTCAAGTAGTAGAGTGTTAGCATTGAGCTCAGGAACAGTGCCCAGGCCCTGAGTTCAAGCCCCAGGAGTGGCCAAAAAAAAAAAAAAGTTTGTAAGAAGTAAACTAAATGTCTACCACAAAAATCCAAACGATGCTTGGTTATGAAAGATAGAATAATTACTAGAACAAATTTAATCATTCAGAAAGATAAATGTGCTGGGCGCTGGTGGCTCATGCCTGTCATCCTAGCTACTCAGGAGGCTGAGATCTGAGGATCACGGTTCAAAGCCAGCCGAGGCAGGAAAGTCCGTGAGACTCTTATCTCCAATAAAACCACTAGAAAACCGGAAGTGGCACTGTGGCTCAAGTGGTAGAGCACTCGCCTTGAGCTGAAGAGCTGAGGAACAGCACCCAGGCCCAGAGTTCAAGCCCCACAACTGACCAAAAAAAAAGATAAATGTGTAGATTTGACCTAAAAAGCTATTTCTCACTTCCTGTTGGATTAAAAAGATCAAATTCTTCTAGGCAAATTTATGTACTACATACACACACATACACACATAAACACACACACACAACTGTTAGGTACTGAGTATCTAGAACATTCACTAAAACATTAAAGTGACAGTCATTTCAGAAGATTTCTTATTCTATGCCTCCATCAGAAAGAATGACACTGCCCCATTTGTTAGGAAATGGAAAGACTTGGAAAAAATTATATTAAGTGAAGTAAGCCAGGCCCAAAGAAACATAGGTCCCATGATTTCCCTTATTTGCAATAACTAGTATATGTCTGAGACAAGCAGAAAAGGTCAGATAAGTTGATAGGTGAAATGACCCCAAGGTAAGTATTCAAATGTGTTTTCTTTCATGTGATTGTTTCTAACATATTTATAAGATGATTTCTTTGTTGCTTTGTATGTCCCTCCCCCACGGTATAACCCCTGTTTTCACTGTATTTGATGTTGGTATAATTTGTGGAGGGGAAGGGAAAAAACAAATCGTTTAGATAGGGATACAGGTGGACCCACTGCAACACTGAGATGTACAAGACGTTATGTCAAAAACAAACTTTACAACTTTTAGGAGATGGGAAGGGATGGGAAGGGGAAACAAAGGAGGAGACAACAATGCTTGATAAGAAATGTATTCATTATCTTGCCCATGTAATTGTAACCCCTCTGTATGGTATTTTCACAATAAAATTTTTTAAAATAAAAATAAAATAAAATCCACAAATGACTAATCTCTATTTTTAAACAGAGATTAGTGGATAATGTACTCAGGTTCTGTTCTAGATTTTAGATCCTTAGAAAGTTTGGAATTTTCTTTACTAGTATTCACAGTACAAACTAGAATGACTTAAGACTACTGCTGAGGATTCATAATTGAAATAACATAAGTTCCATTATCCTATAAGCCTAGTATCTTTGTTTCTAAGTAGATTCCTGTTTCAGAACCTTTTATGAAAAAGTTCATTCTCACCCTCTCGCTCTTCCCACAACATCTTTCTTTTCCAGCCAGTTCTGGCCTTCTTTGTACAAGCCTCTATCATCAACTTCATTATTATCTCCTTTAGTCAGGAATTTGATGTCTCCATTATCTCTGGAAAGAAAAACAATGGTAAAAAATATTTTTTCAGCACATCATCATTAGAAAAATATTAGTTTATCCAAGATGTTACAGTCAAGACATGAGTATTAAGAAAGCAACCAAAGAATACTTGGCCTTTCTTTGGTCTAAGAGGATTGCTTAGAGATAACTGTTCAGCTGAAGTACAAATCTAATGACAATTCTGAAGATTCAAAATGCAAAAGCACTGAAGTAACCTTGACAAGCTAAGAGCATAAAGCATGGCAAAGCACAAAGACACCAGGAAGGCAATGATCCTCTTGCAGCACACACGGTGAAGAATCACTTCTCATTCATGTCTGCTTAAAGAAAAAACTGGCACCTAACTTGTTTTTAATCAGGAATCAGGGGTGGTAGTGCCAGTGGGCACAATCACATGAATAGCAATTCTCTCAAGTCCAGATCATAACACACCACTGTGTGCTGACAATGAGTGTTTCCACACTTACTTCTGCCATTCCCTTCAGATCACAATAGGTCAGAGTCAGGACATGAGGTTGATTAACGATCATTCTTTTTATGTATGTGTGTGTCTTACTTTTTTTGTTATTCTCTTTAAAAAGTTGTACAAAGGACTTGCCATTTAACAAAGTAACCATTCTTCATCCTCCTGGATCAACCTGTTAATAAGGACTATAGTCCTATTCACTTTAGACATGAACTTGGTCCCTGACCAGATTTAAACACAAGGTAATTTAAATGTTCTATGCTTTTAGCTGTCCTCCAGCTTTTCCTCAAAATGAACGTAGAATGTGCTAACACACTGCTTCCCTTCACCAAGATTCCATTTGCAGAAAACAAGGATCACAAATGGTGCCAGACTAGTATTAAAAAGGAGCCATGTGGGGTTAATGTTAACCATCCTTAGCTGATATTCTGATAGTCATTAGCTCCAAAACACAAACTGCACCGTGATAGAGCTATGAAGGTCTACATGAGGTAAAACATTTGAAGCCCACAAAGATGTGGACTACGTCAAAAAGAACAAGCGGACACAGCAATAGAAATGAAGAGGACAAACATCCTGGCAATCTCATAATTCATGCAAAATACAGCAGATAATCATTTCGTTTACTCTGAACACATTTTCATCTTCAGAAACTATTACTCCTATTGTACAATAAGATATTTAGAACATGTGATATTTACAACATGTGCATAATGCTCTTTGATCAAATTCACCAAGTCTATATTACTCTTTCTAAACTCCTCCCCACTTCTTTTTCACAGGTTTTCATCACACTATTTTCATACATACCTATAATGGACTTAAATAATATTCACCTCCCCAACATCCTAGAAAGTACATCGGATGGAAGTACTGTCCCATCACAGCTAAGCATGCTAACGCTTTTGTGGTGTCACAAATAGATATCACATACCATTTGAACAACACAAGGAGAGGGGAAAGAGAAGGAGAGATGGGAAAGGAGAGAGAGAGAGAGAGAGAGAGAGAGAGAGTCCCTAAATTTAATTCTATAAATCATGTAACAACACTACCATAAACTGCATAAAAGTAAATGAATAATCAATTATGTAAGTGTAGCATTTTACTCTTTCATTTAGAAATTTTCTCTGTTGAGGGCTAGAAGTAAATGATTTGGTTCCAAGTCAGACCATATTGAGACCTTAATAATTCATCAAAATGCTGCTATGGGCTGATAGGCAGGATATGCCATGAGCAAATTACAAGATACATTGGGGAAATAAATGTGTATCTACCTAAGGCCAGTATTACTTCTGAAAATGTTACTTTGGTCAAAGTGACAGAGAATAGTAGCTGGCTTTATTACACTTCAGAAAACAAACAAAAAAATGGCAGTATAGCGTGCTTTGATTTTCTTTGAGATGTCTTCAAATAGCTGCAGTTCACCCCATCCTAAATTCGGGTAGCCATTCAAGTTTGTACCATGTGTCAGTAAACACTGCTTGACTTCATTCTCACAATCACCCTATGAGTCACTGAGAGTAAAACAGTATCATTCCTATTTGCAGAATGAATTAGGTGCTGGCCTAAAGTCACTCAAAGAGTAAATATAGTTCAATACGTTAATAGTTTCTAATTAACCACCAAAAACATCTACCAAAATTAAGTAAACTACATAAAGTGTCATTACTTTTCGTGGACTTTGATGACTCGGTGAACGATTGGAATGTCCCGTCCTTCAACCTTAAAAACAACTATTTCGCCGGCTCTAATGGGGTCTTCCCGGAAATTTGTGAGGAACAGCAGGTCTCCCCTGTGAAAGGCTGGCTCCATGCTGCCACTAGAAAGAAGCACAGAGTCCCCATCGGTGTTGCCCGAGGCCCAAACAGTGATCACAGTAAACCAACCAGTCAAAGTGGAAGATTTTGCCAACAGTATGAAGTCTCAGAAGCCCTAAATAAAGCCAATGTAGTTTCCTTCCTGCCCCAGGGATTGTGGAATATGGGAGAAAATGGTTTCTAGTTGGGTTCACATATGGAAAGGGTTCTTTAAGAAAAATAAAAAAATAAAAACAAGAATAATGTGTGCTCTGAAGTAAAAGCTGGGACGATTTTTAACTTTCAGACAAGTCTTCCTTCCATGAACATTACCATGGTTCATTCACAACTTCAGGCTCTTACAGCTGGTTAATACTCTAGGGTAATTCTTCCATTGCACACTGCTAGACTCATTCAAGGAATGGCCATATTCTACATAAGTCTACAAAAGCCCAGTGCTGAAAATACTAACTTGTTTTGAGAGACCATAGATAATCTCTATGGTAATCTGTGATACCAGTTCAAACCCATGCCAAAAATCCTTGGTAAATTTAAAATAAACTGCAATCTACTAGGAGTTGAAATTTTGAAACTAGGATTTGCTCTCTATTTGTTCATGTTTGTTTTAATGTGAGAGAAAAGAATAAAACCTAGAACTAGGGTATGGTAGGGGCCAAGAAGCAAGGATGAGCTAACAATGTATTGTTTAACAGGAAGCCAGGAGAAAGAATCTGGGTACTGAAGCTGAGGGGTGCTGTATAGGAGATCATGGCCCGTGGAGCTGGCTTTCCTTTCCAACGGGCCAGCTTCCCTGCAGATCCAGAACGCACCCAGGAGACAGGCCGCTGGACTGGCTAGCACTGAGCACTGGGAGGCTTTCGTTAAAGAGAAACCAGTGCACTTAGTAGGACAACAGACCTAGCACTCAAACACAAGAAAACTGAGTCAAACAGGGAGATCCCCAAATGCTACCTGGGGGAGAAAGAAAGTCCTGAGATACATAAGGAGGATGAGGATGTACTTAGGAAACTGTTGTGGTCTAGGATAACAGGGCTGCATGAGGTAAAACCTCCCCATATCTCAGAGGCAAGAAGAAAGCACTGAAGTTTGGCACAGCCTATTGGGTACAAAGAAAGCCAAGTAGCATTTCACATGAGTTAAGCTTAAAATCAGTTTACACACTTTAATATACTGCTAAATCATCATTTTAAGAAGACTAAGTGCATTGGCATCAAAATGATCAAAGCTCTAAAATATCTACTGAAAAAAGGTAACACTTTTCATTAAAAGCTAGAAAAAAATGAAACATTGGCAAAGCAGATGCTAATGAAGAAGGCTCAAACAGTTCACCCAGTTAGCGCCCTGAATCCCGGCTATCACACCGGCTGGCTCTCCCTGCAGGCACCCCGCTGGCTCCTGGGACTCAGGACAGCAGTGGCAGGATGAGGGTGGCGTCAGAACCTACCTCAACACCACCACGATCGGGCTCTCGCTGCCTGTGAGCACGATCAACCCCTTCCATATCATGAGTGCAGAAGACACGATCATGGCGAAGTTTAAAACCTGGTAGTAGAGCTGGAAGGGAAAAGGCCAGATGCAAGTGAAAACCCATGGCAGAATACTCACCAGCCTGAAGCTGGAGCTGCACTAGTAAAGGAAAACAAGAACAAGGAAATTTCAGGACATGAAACTATTTTACAGAGGAACAAAATTAGGTAGTATTTCCATTTTTATTCATGAAAAATAGCCTTCCAAATGCCACCATCTTTCAGAGAGAAAAAGGAGAAATGGCAACACACAAGGCTTATGTGGAGGACCTCCCAACCACTCTGGGATTTTCCGACACCCTGAGCCCTAATGAATTCCAGTCTTCAAAGTCCTGCCCAGGCCCCACATTCTAGTGTAGCCTCAGATACAGCGTCATGCAAAGAGTGCAGGTCTCCCCCCAAAAACTGCACACCCAACCTGAATCACCCATGCTGAGCTTCTCTGTAAATATGGCCTCAGTCCGTTCCAGAGACATCTGCTACTGCCACTTCTCAAGATTTTGAGGTTTCCACAGCGCAAACAGTGAAGCAGTGCTCCTCAGCTTCTTGGGGCCACTCAGCACTTGGCTTTCTTGGGGTGTGGGGGGGGGCACATCAGCTCTCATTCTTCCATCTGTTTTTCAACTCCTAGAATCTGGGTGACCTGGTTTCCTGCCTAGCCACCCATCGTGGAATAAATCTCTTCATTTTAAATTTCCTTGCTAGTCTTAGTAGTGTTGCAAGAAAGCAAAATTAGGTAAGTTAGGTCTCATCTTGGCTACCTACCAGATTTCCAGAGTACTACTTCCAAGTGAATTTGGAACTAGAACCCAAATCTCGTAGCTCTAAATACTTTTTCTTCAAATATTCAAACATAATTTTAACTGAAATAGATGTGGCAGTATGGACTCTCTTTGAAGGCTGAATACAATTAAGTTCTGGTATGCTATTATACAATGGAACAGTATTATATATTTCAAACTAACTGCAAAAGATTTTTGAAAGTTTAGCCATAAAGAAAAGATTTGAGGTGACACACATAATTACTCTGATTTCGTCATTACTCAATGTAGACAGGAATTGAAATATCACATTACACAACATAATTACACAATATGCATCTATTTAATAATGAATTAAAATGCATCAGAAGAAGGTAACTTGTTCTGTTTTGCTGCCAATCCGGGAGCTTGAATTAAGAGCCTGGCCGTGCTGAGGTTATTTGCTCGAGGCTAGCACTCTACCACTTGAGCCATAGTTGCACTTATGGCTCTGTTGGTGCTTAATTAGAGATAAGTCTCACAGACTTTCCTGCCAGAGCTGGCTTCCAGCCAGTATCCTCAGATTTCAGCCTCCTGTGGCATGAGCCACAGGTGCCGCACTCAAAGGGTAGTTTTAAAAATGTATAGGCTACATACACAGAACTGTAGCTGAAGACACTTGGGAAGGGTCAACAGGGATGGGCAGGGGGGTTGGAGCGGTTCTCCTGTCAGATTGTGTAGCCTGTCCTTTACAGCAGTGCTGTCAGTGCTGGACCCCCTGTGGAGGGGGCTGAGAACTGGGTTTTAAGCAATCCCCAGGCAATGCTGCAGGCCCTGGGCAGGAACGACAGTTTGAGGCCACTGCTTTCATATGACATGCTCTCAACCTTGACTGCACACTAGAATCACTGCGAAGCAGACCTGGTCTTCATCCCACACCAACCAATCAGTGGAGGGCAAGGGCTGGTGTCCAGGAAGATTCTGATGCACAGTGCGGCTGACTGTGGCTCCGCAGCCTGTCCTTCCCATCCATCCCCTCGCTCCTCCTCTACCTCTTGTATCTTCTCCTTCAAACAAACATCTGTCACAACTAGAAACTGCAGAATCCAGTCTCTGGCCACTTTCTTCTCTGTACCCCTGCCAGCTCTCCTCCTCCACCTAGACCCTCAACTGCTGGCATCAGCCCCATAGTGCTAACTACTCACCATACTGAAATTGCCAACTGCCCACAGGACCTTTCCATTCAAATGCATGTCAGCCTGAACTCATCTCCAAAGATCTCTCGGTGCTAGTGATGGCAGCTCAGTATAGAACATTTCTATTCACTCAGATGTGTGGAGCCACCTCCATCCATCCACTCTAGCTAGATGTTTCCAGAATGTGTTCAGTTCTTCCTATTCCTGCTGCTACCACTCTCACCCACGGAGTCCCATCTGGCCACTTCGTGAGCTTCCCACGGGACTCCCCTGCACGCTGTACTCTTTCCCAGTTATCCCATACTCCCTACGTGTTGTTACATCTATGCTCCCATGTCAAGGCCTTCAACTGCATCTTCCCCCGCTGAGGATGAAAACCAAATCTTTGTATAGCTTCCAAGAACACCTTATCTGATAGGATCCCCACCCCCATGTCAGGGGTGAAGTTCTGCCATGTTGACCTGTGCTATCTGTCAGTGCCTTACACAGTGCCTGCTGTTTTCCACCCCAGGACCTTCCCCCAGCTACTAACATGCTTAACACTCAGAAGTCTCGCTATAAACATCTGTGTCCAAGGGAAGCTCCCCGCAAGCTGCTAGACCAGAGTCAGCTAACTTCATGTGTAAAGGGCCAGCTCATAAATATTTTAGGTTTGCAGGCCCCATAATGTCTGTCAAAACCACTTAACTTTACCATTACAGGCAATATGTATGAAAAGAAACATAGCTGTGATCTAAGAACCTCCTTTCCTTTGTTTCTTCCTTCCTTCCTTCCCTTTTATTTTTCATCCCTCCCTCCTTGCCTGTCTGCCTGCCTTTCTGTCATACTGAGGAATAAACCATGGGCCTTGAAAGCATTCTCCATTTGAACAATGCCTTCAGCTCTTTTGTTTTTATTTTGGCTTTAGTTAGGGTCTCACCACCTTTGCCACAGGTGACCTTGAATTTGAAATCATCTTGCCTCCACTTCTCAAGTAGCTCGAATAACAGGCATGTTATAGACCATATGTGCCTAAACTTCATTCACAAAAACAGGTGAAACACTGGCGTTTGCTAACCTTTGCTGTAGCTATCATATATTCTCATTGCATCTGTTACAGCCCTCATCACCTTGATAACTGCACATATAATTATTTAATGTGTCTTCCATACTTGACTGTAAATTTCACAAAGGGGAGTTAGGGGTTCATTCAGCCCTACTCAGAACTATATCTTCACTATGCAATGTAAGTTTGGCCAAAGTACTAAGTAAACAGAAATAAAATAAACATCTATAATACATAGTAACTGTTGCAAACAAATCCACTATAAGAAAAACACTAAAATCCTAACAGAAGAAGTAAAAAACAAATTCATAATTTTTCAAAGGCAGAATACCAGCAGCAAAGGAAACATTTAAAATTTGGAATCAATAAACCTGCCTCTCTGTCCTTCCCATCCCCTGGGACCTGGCAAATTGGAAGGTTCTGTTTGGTTTTACGTTAGTCTTGGAGATGGTCAGGATACGGTGTATTGTGAAGGGAGGGTGCAGGTGATGTAACCGTTCTGAAAGGAATCAGGCATTACCATCAAGCCGTTTCTCCTCACCCTGGAGCCCTACTTCCAGAACTCAGCTTACAGAAAAGGCAGATAGGGAATTACAGCCCCCAAATATTAATCAGTCTTATTGCTAATCATATAGAAAAGGAAATAAATGACTAATGAGAGAAATGACCACTAGAAAATGGCAGATTACCTCCCACACACAAACAATGCACAAAGAATTTTAATACAAAACATTCAAAACAGGTTGGGTGGAAAATACAAACCTCAGACTTCAGCAAAATATGTGTGTGTGAGCACGTATATATGTGTGCACAAGCATGTGTGTGCTCCAAGACTTGGCCAAGAGTAATCTTAGGATAGTAGAATTATGAGTCATTGAATTTTTTCATTATACTATTCTCTGTTCTTTAAAATTCCTGTGACAAGCATAAACTAATTCTAACACATATGGGGAAAAGTGTTTAAGAGAAATGCAATTTGACAGAACAGTCTATGGCTATGAAAATAATCATTTTCAATAGCAACAAGGCATGAAAATATATCCTTATATGGAAGGTAGGAAAAGCAAGCTCAAAAGTGTCTCTGCCAGCTGGGAATGGGCTTAGTGGTAGAGTGCTTGCCTTGCATGCACGAAGCCCTGGGTTCAATTCCTCAGTACCACATAAACAGAAAAAGTCGGAAGTGGCACTGTGGCTCATGTGGCAGAGTGCTAGCCTTGAGCAAAGAAAGAAGCTCAGGGACAGTGCCAGGCCTTGAGTTCAAGCGCCAAGATTGCCCCCCCCCCCAAAAAAAAGTGTCTCTGCCAATATTACCACTATATTTAAATATGTACTTTTGAGGATAGCATGAAAGATACAACTGAGAGAGAGCACTTTTTTTTTTTAATTCAGTAACTGTTAGCAGTAACTGTTAAGGTGTTTTGTGCAATTAAAGAAAACAGGAAAATAAATCTAACTCAATACTAAAGCCACACACCATTTTTAACTAGCAAATTATGAAACTATCATTATATTCCCTGGAGAGCACAAAAAGGAAACTGGAGTGCTAAGCAGATAGTGTGAAATTACTGCTTCTAAAGAAAAAATAGGTGTTTAACCAATTTTGTCAGCACCATTTACTGAAGAGGCTATCTTTCTTCCATTCTATTTTTTAGCTCCCTTACCAAAGATTAAGTGGGAACAGGTCTGTGGGCTCATTTCTGGGTCTTCAGTTCCACTCCATTGGTCCTCAAGTCTGTTCTTGTGCCAGTACCAAGCTGTTTTGTAGTAGTTTGAAATTTGGTATTGATATTCCCCCAGCATTGTTCTGTCTGATAAGGATTGTTTTTGCTATGTGGGGTCTTTTATTGTTTCATATGAATTTTTGGATTGCTTTTTCTATTTCATTGAAGAATGAGGTTGGGATATTGATAGGTATTGCATTGAATTTGTAGACAGCCTTTGGATAATTGCCATCTTCACAATGTTAATCCTCCCAATCCAGGAGCATGGGAGGTTTTACCACTTCCTTAGTTCTGCTTTAATTTCCTTTTTTAGATTTTTAAAGTTTTCATCATAGAGGTCCTTCACTTCTTTAGTTAACTCTTGGGTATTTTATTTTTTGTGGGGCTATTACAAAAGGAGTTGTTTTCCAGATTTTTTGTTTCTTTTGTATGTATAACCATGGTATAACCCCTGTTGTCACTGTATTTGATTCTGGTGTCCTGCATCTTGCATATACATTTTTCTAATTTGGGGAGGAGAAGGGAAATAACAAAATGCTGAAACAAGGACACCGCTTGACCCATTGTAACAATGAGACTTACAAGACATTATGTTGAAAATGAACTTTGCAACTTGGTGGGGGGGAGGAGTTGGGGAGGTGGGGAAGGAAGAAGGAATAGTAGGGGGAAAACAAAGGAGGGGGTTAACAATGCTGGATAGGAAATGCACTTATACCTTACTCATGTAATTATAACCCCTCTGTACAGTATCTTTACAATAAAACAATTTAAAAAGAAAAACAGCCTTGCAAGTGCAATCAACCTAAAGCAGAAGTGTTCGCTGGGGTGCACTTTCCTCAGAGCCCTCCCATCAGATAAGCAAGTGTAGTTTCTTTGTGAGTTGCAGATCTGACTGGGGAAGCCCCACACTATGATTTTAAACAAAGATTTCCAGTTTTAGATCGTATTTTCAAAGTAGCAGCCTCTTGCCACTTATCTAACAATATGCCTTTGTGTTAAGGAACATATTTGACACTACGATTTTCTGTGCTCGAAAAATTCACTGAGAAGAAATAAATTTAATTAAAATAAAGACAATTCCTTTGAAAAGGCTGAGTTGTATTTAGTATGATCCAAAAAGTGTCAGGAGCTTAGAAAAGTACAAAATAGAAAGCAGTTCCGGCTCTGCCTCCAGTTTTGTGTGAATGTAAATCCACTGGAAGGACTGTATATCTCTAAGCATTCCAGGTGTTCCTTCTTTTTAAAATAAGAACTCGGCTTTCTTCTATCAGGTTATGCATGTCATTCTTCCCCAATCAGTTAAAAACGAAGGTGAATGGCGCAGATAAATTCTGATCATGCTTGACTCAGCAGAAAAGGTCAGATAAGTTGATGTTAGGGAAATGAACCCTAAGATATGTATTCAAATGTTTTTTTTTTCTTTCATGCGATTGTTTCTAACACATTTATAAGATTATTTCTTTGTTGCTTTGTATGTCCCTCCCCCAAAGTATAACCCCTGCTTTCACTGTATTTGATGTTGGTATAATTTGTGGAGGGGAAGGGGAAAAACAAATCGTTTAAATAGGGATACAGGTGGACCCATTGCAACAATGAGATGTACAAGTCGTTATGTCGAAAATGAACTTTACAAACTTTGTGGGGGGAGCATTGGGTGGGGGGGATGGGAAGGGATGGGAAGGGGAAACAAAGGAGGAGGCTACAATGCTTGATAAGAAATGTACTCATTATCTTGCCCATGTAATTGTAACCCCTCTGTACAGTATTTTCACAATAAAAAAAAAATTCTGAACATGCACAACTGATATTCACACCAGCTTTTGTGGCAGTGTGGGGAGAGCCAGGTGTTGGGTGGAGAGGAGTATGCTATCTGCCTATGGTTGTTGTTTGTTTTGGTAGCAGTACTGCGGTTTAAACTCTGGTCTTCGGCTCCACCACTTGAGCCACGCCTACAGCCTTCTAGCTTTAGTATAGTTTCAGATGGAGTATCATACTTGTTGCTCACATCATAATCCTCCTACTTCTGTCTCTCAAATAGCTGGGATGACAGGCCCTGCTTGGATTTCTCCTGGCTATGGAACCTTGGCAAATAGTTTACTCTCTTTATGGCTCAGATTCCTAATCTATAAAATGAAAGTCATTGCAATGACCTTGTAGGGATGTGAGAATTAACAATTTGAGGCATTAGTAAATTTAAAATGCGTGGAATCTCATCCAATGCACTGTAAGTGCTATGTGTTGGATATCATCAAAATAATAAAAATCTGCTATCCTATTTAAAAACAAAAACCACTTCCTTTCATCAGGACATCTATCTACTCAGGAAACTAGCAATTACACCAAAACCTAACACTTTAACGGAAAACTGCAGATCACACTTCCAGCTCCCTGCCTTTAAGGTATCAATGGTTCTAAATTGGACATCCAGGAATCTAGACACCTAATTTTAACCAAACTACTGACAAGCTGACCCGGATCTAAAATGTGTCACACCCTGTTTCACCACATTTTGTGGCTCATCATTGGCTACCAAATTTATGTATTCAGCATTTAACAACACCACACAAAGTTTCAGGTAAGCCCACGCTCAGTTACTATCAACCCAACATGAAACAGTCACTTTCAAAGAGCTTTAAGCAAACACTGCAGGCCAGATATTCTGGCAACAGAACAACAGAAATGCCAGTGGCTGTGTTTCTTCCTGTCACCCTCACTGGAGAAACAAAGAACTCTTGTCCTGCATGTAGCCCTTACTTAACAGTAAACAGGGACAGAAGGGAAAGGAGGCCCTGCTTCTAAGAATGGTGAGCATACAGACCTGAAAGATGTCATGGGATGCTGTTTGGAAGGGAAAAAGATAAACAAGCAAAAAATGAAACTTTAAAGGAAAAGCAGCAAAAAGCAGTAGACTTGAACTTCTGGATTTTAATTAGAAGACTGGCAAAACGAGCAATGCAACCAGCTACTGGCAGGCCTAACACTGAAAGTGGGAACACCCAAGTCTTCTAAAAGGCAAACTGAGTTAGCGAGAGATACACTCATCATAAGGCCTTCTGTGACAATCTACTCATTAATCATCAGTACTAAGCATTTCCAAAATCTAGCCGTAATCTAGATTTTAGAAGAAAGCGCTCCTTGTGGAGATTCTGGGAGACCATCAAAAAACAGCATCAACCTTCCTTACATTAGCTGTTGGTGTGTTAAGCTAGTGACAACTCTTCATCACAGAAGCCCCAGGAGCTGTCAGTGAAACATAGCTAGACACAATCAGATCCTACCCACCATGCATGGCATCCAAGTCGGCAAACTCTCCTGAGCAGCTGCAATTATCTGAAATTCTAGAGGTAGAAAAAGAGGGAAGGAGAAAGGAAAGGAAAAAAAGGAGAGAAGGAAAGGAAAAGGAGGAGGGGAGAAGACAGGAAGAGGAAGACAGAAGACAAAGAAAGTAAGAAAGAAAGAAAGAAAGAGAGGAAGGAAGGCAGGAAGGAAGGAAGGAAGGAAGGAGAGGGGGGAGGGAAGGAAAGGAGAGAAGCAGGGAGGCAGAGAGGGAGAGAGAGAGAAAGGAAGAGGGAAGAGAACTGGACAGAAGACATGCAAGCAGGAAGGAGTACTTGGGCCCTGTCATGTGTGCCACTCTGCCAACAAAATCAAGAGAACTAACACCATTTTCAAAGACAATCAATACCACCTTCTAGAAAAATCTCATTTTTCTTACCACCATGTGTTATCAGTAGTAACAGTAATAGAATCCATCACTATATTTGGGCACAACAGGTCTCACGAAATTGTCTTTCCAGAAGTTTGAGCAATCACTTTTTTCCTGGCTGAGTTAGTTTCCAGTCTCTCTTCTCTCTTAAAGAGTAAAGCAAGGCCCAAAGGCAGTGACGGTAGCCAAAAACCACGAAGGGAAAAGGACAAGACTCTCAATGAAGAGAGAGAAATCAATCCCAGCTCCCCAAAGACAGCCCTCCCCCCCCCCCATACACACCCCCTAACTGCCTTCCGTATGTATGGTGCAGCTAAAGTTACAGAAGACTTCTGGAACCCCTTTCCAGGACACTGGTTCGGTCCACGAAGATTGAGTACCGCCAAGGATTTCTCTGGACACAAGACGCACTCTGGAGGAGCCAAAGGACGCCCTGGAGAAACCTGTTCCCAGGTGGAAAGCGGCTGCTTTAGCAGCACTGGACAGTTCCCCCGACGGTCGGAAAGTTCTCCGGTCGGGCGGCCTCCGCCCCTGCCCTCGGGACGCCGTCGGGCCTGGGCTGCGCCGCCGGGGCTCGGGAAGGGGGCGGCCCTGGGGTGCAGGCCCCTCCAGCGCGCGCTGACAGCGGTCCTCACCGCCCGCCGTCCCCGGCGAACGACCCCCGCCGCGCAGGGTCTCTACGCCCAGTCCCTCCAGCGCCAGCCGCCTCCTCGCCGTTCCTGTCAGCGCTAGGAAGCGTACACACACACCTGAGAGGATCTGAACCCGGTGCCTCCGGGGCGCCTCGGGGAGGACCCGGAGCTGCCCGAGCCCTGCCCGGGGAGCCCCAGCGGGCCCCGGGCCCCCGCCGCGCCCCGCCCCCGCCATCCAGGCCTCCGTTACCTGGCGTTTGTTCATCTTCCTCAGGTCCCCGAAGATGTCCAAGCCGGAAGCGGGGAGATGCGCGCCCACGGCACCCGCACGAACCATGGCGGAGATCTGTGGGGGCCGCGGCAGCCCGCCGGCTCCCCGTGTCACCCAGACAGTAGCCGAACACCGGCAGGCACAGCCCACCGGCCCGCGTCCCTGCGAGCCACGTGATTGGCGAGTCGCTTGACCTTCTGGGAATCGTAGTCCTGTGATCTTAGCCACTGATTAGCCCTGAAGGAATCGAGGAAGAGGAAAAACTACCACTCCCAGAATGCCGCGGGCTGAGCGCCTCGGCCAGTGAGGACCCTGGGCTCCTAGGGAGGGATGCCAAGGAGCTCAGAAGCCTTGTTCGACCCTTCGGAGAGAAAGCGGGCCAGTGTGTGATCCCGCGTGTCTCAGGGGTAACTCGAGAAGTGACTAGTCAAGAGGAATGGAATTCTCAAGTCGCTGGTCAGGCGCCAAGAAGACACCTAAAGCTCTCTAGCAGTCACCTAGCCGTGTATCTCGGCCATTGGATGACTGCAGCAGGGGAAGGCGGGGCTTCTGCCTCGGGGGCTAGTAGTGCAGAATCAGGGCGGGGCCTAGAGGTCGGCACACCGCGTGGGCGGGGCTTAGAAGAGGCGGGAGTTTTGAAACGGCTGTGTACCCCGCTCTGGGGAAAAAAAGAAGAGTAAGATTTGAATGCAAAGGAGCATCTGTGAATCGTCGTGAGCAAAATGACAGTAATTTCATGAATGAATAACCAGCTAATTTTATACACGGGGAAGGAAATTGCCCAGAAAAGCTTAATGACAGGCCAGAGCCTGGAATGAAACTAAAACTGCAAAGTTCTCAGCCTTAGATGACCTCACTCCTCATTCTAAATCACCTTTGATTCATTGGCTCACGTATGCTTTATTGTGTTCGTTTATTCACAAATCTTTATGGAACACCTACTAGGCACCTGGCCTATTCTAAGCACTAGGATTTCTGGCAGATGCAAAGTCAGAGAATCCTCTTGGGCTAATTTCTGTCACTCCTGGGCTGCCTCTTGTGCCATCTTGATTTGTTCTTACAAAGAAAGTCAACTATGTCTTTACCCTGACTGAGAGCTCATCCTCCCTCTGGCTCTGTTCTCGGTTCCTAACTCTTCCTTTTCCCATTCCAGTTGTGCTATGCTGTCAAATGCAGACTCTTCACTATTGTGGCCTATTCTCTTCAAAGACACAGCAAAATTCAAGTACTTTTGAATCCTGGCCTTAATACTACTATCTGAGGAGATTTAGTTTAGCTAGAGTTAGAAATCAAACATTCTTGCTATGTGCTCGTGAGCTTAAATGCAAAGGAATGTACAACATTGTTCATCACAGCACTATTCATAATAGCCACACTTTGGAATTGGCCATGGTGCCCAACAGCCAATAAATAGATAAAGAAAATGGGGTATGTATACACAACAGAATCATTAAGAATAAATTTAAACTCCTCCATACATCACCTTTATAATCAACTTTTTTAATTTTTAAAAAAGAATAAAATAATATCATTTGCAAGAAAGTGAATAAAACTGAAAAGCAGTATACTGAGTGAAATAAATCAAGCTCAAAAAAGCCAAATATAGCCAGGTGCTGTTGACTCATACCTATAATCCTAGCTACTCAGCAGACAGAGATCTGAGGATTGAAGTTTGAAGCCAGTCTAGGCAGGAAAGTCCATGAGACTCTTATCTTCAATTAACTACAAAAAAAAAAAAAAGCCAGAAATGGAGCTGTGGCTCCTTACACAAAAAAGCTCAGAGACATCACCTAGGACCTTTGGGTTCAAGCCCCAGGACCAACACACACTCACAAACACACACACACACACACACATTTTCAGTCATTTATGTGGAATCTAGACCAATAATAGTAATAATGATGGAAATGGCATAAAACAGGGACTATCAGATGTGGAGGAGAAAGCACTAGGAAGTGAACAGGATCAAAGCACACACATACGTGCACGCACACACACACACACACACACACACACACACTTGCACGCATGCGCACCCACACACACACAAAGATAGACTAATGAACCTATTAACTAATGCCTGTTAAAGGGAAAGTTAAAAGAGTATGAGAGAATAGGTAAATGTGTTCAAAGTACAGTGTACGCATACGCTGGAACACCTTATACAACTAATGTAAATAAATAAAGCACTCCTCTATTTGCCTAGGTTCTTATGGTGTTTAATTTATTATATAGTTTATACCAAAATGTAGTACATATTTCATTTTCCCATAGAGAAATAAACATGAGCTTTCCTTATGAAATTCCATAAGTATAAGCTGACATGACATACCCTCTCTTAATAATTCCCAGAATCCTCTCCTCCTCTCAAGTGAGACAATAGAAATAAAAATTTAAGAAATCTCTTGCATAACAGTTGGGTCACTCTTATTTACTAAATTATCAGTTGTGGGGCTGGGAAGGTGGCTCAGTGGTAGAGCGCTTGCCTTGCATGCATGAGGCCCTGGGTTCAATTCCTCAGCACCACATAAGCAAAAAGAAAAAAGCCGAAGTGGCGCTGTGGCTCAAGTGGTAGAGCGCTAGCCTTGAGCTGAAGAGCTGAGGGACAGCGCCCAGGCTCAGAGTTCAGGCCTCACAACCGGACCCAAAAAATAAATAAATAAATAAATAAATTATCAGTTGTGAGATCTAGTTGAAGCTGTAACTGTGAAGACGTGATTACCACACAAGTAACATGTGAATGGGGTAGGTTATCATCAAAGGTGTGCACTGTGCTGTAGAATTCCTTAGTACCTCAATGTGGCCTTTCTGAATAGGTTGAACAAATGTTTGGGGGGTAATGCCAGCTAAAGTTGTTTACATGTTAATTAGGCACTTACGTGCATCCTTACATTTATTATCAGTTTAAAATGAGAAATAATGCTCACAGCTGATAAACACTTGATCCAATGTTACAGAGATAAGAGATAACAGAGCCAGAACTTGAGTCTGACTCTGCCAAATTCCAACCCACTGTGGTCTGCTATATCCTTAGTTTTTTTCAATCCTTTGAAATTGCCAGAGTACCAGAGCAGACAAAGCTTCAAGGGGACTTGGCTTCAGTTCTCAGGTTCACATCACTGCTCACAGGCTGAGGGCAGTCAAATTTAGCAAAAGCTCCAAGACACAGGGACTGTGGAACCCAAAGATCCTGGTCTGCTCATCTGATGGAGAGAGGGAGGGAGGTCTCACTCTTTAATGGATCACAAACAGGAAGACATCTCATGAATGGCTATGACTTTAAATACCCCAGCAGAAACACTGGAGCTGTCTGGGGAGGACAGAGTCATGTCATCCCAGATCTGAGTCACAGACACCTGGCTAATAATGCCAGACACTACTTCTGAGTCATTCCCTGCCTTCTCCATCTTCAGTGGCTATGCAATGATACATTTCAGAAGATCTGTACCCTTACCCAGGGATGTTGCAATTGAAGGAAACATTTGGGCTGTCTCTCCTTCCTCTGCAATCCTTCCTCCACTCTGTGGGCTGTTCTATTGTTGTCTCCCCCGCCACCCCTGCCGACAAATAAGCCATTTCTCAAACTACCATCCTCTTGTGTCCCAATTGAGTGTTTTCATTACCTCCATTATCCTTGCAATTGCTACAACCAGCCACAATGAGTTTTAAGCTTAGAAAAGCATCCATAAGACCAGGCATGGTGAATCCCACCTAGAATCCTAGCTACTCAGGATTGCAGAAGTAGATCCACTATCCAAGGCTTCAGGCCTCTCATAATAATCAATCTGAAAAACAAGCCAAAGAGAAAAAGCTGTGAGCATGACTCAAGTGGTATAGTGCCTGGCTAGCAAGCGCCAGACCGAGTCCAAACTGCAGTACTACAAAGGAAAAAAGTAAGAAATAGAAAGGTATGGATAAAGAGGAATATAACATTCATTAACAAAAAGATAAGTATACTTATTTTGATTTTATATTCCAAGCTACTTGACTGTCATGAAACAATCAAAGGTCCAAAAAATTGGCATCGAAGTTTTAAGTAGTATATGTTGTGCTGCTTTTTTCTTTTTCTTGTTTTTTATTATTAAGTAGTACAAAGAGGTTACAATTCCAAAAGTCAGGTTGTGAGTACAATGCTTCTTGTTCAATGTCACCCCTTCCTTCATTCTCCCCTACTTTCTCTTCTCATCCTGAAGGTTAACATAATTCAGTTTTTACCTAATGTACATTGAATATAATGGCTGCATTTGTTCACCCTTCCTCCCTCGATTGTATGTCTCCTCTTGTCCCCTCAAAAATGTTTCCACTCTCTCGCATTCATTTTGCTAAGCAGAACATTAGTTATTTAAAGTACTACGCTTTTTCTATATGAAGGCATTTTCTGACGGGTGATGTATACTTTCTACATGCAGCTGATAGAAGAAGGCCACACTTTGTGACTCTGAGCACTTGGAACAAGATACAAGACATCTAGGCTGTCCTCATAGTCATGTCCACCCAGAGTCGAGTCACTTTGAGCCACTTCTCTTATTCTTTGAGCCTCGGTTTCCTCATCAGTAGAGACACAGTTGTTCTCTCGCCTCTGGACAACAAAAATGTTAACTCTATTTTCTATTACTTTGGAAAACTATCTTAAAGACCTCTTCTGCCTGCTTAGAAGCCACAGAATGCAATCACTTTCAGGTATGAATCTTGGCCAATTCAAGATAATTTTAAAGCTCTCCTTTCCTCTCCCTTTCTCCCCCAGCTGGCCACTGAGTTCAAAGCAGTGTGCTGTGACTTTTGGGGGCAGCTTTTCCATCTTCTTTTCCCTCTGCTCTGTCTTACTACCACTCCAGCATCCTTTGAAGTGCAACTTGTCCCATCTGATCTTCAGATGCGGCCTTTCTTCTCCAGTGAGGCTGGGTGAGTCACTGTCTTCCAGCCTTCCTATCTGCATGTGTCATTAGTGGTCTCACAGAAACCCTAGGCTCTTTTATTGCACCCCCCCCTCCTCTGTTTTGTCAACCTTCTTTGGCTAACTTACTAAGCCCATCTCTTACCTACATCACAGTGGCTCAGGAGAAAATGGCCAGGCTGATGACATTCAGAGGTCTAGATGACATACTTCCATCCTGGAATTATTCATCTTTTTAATCTTTTTTTTAGAACTAGAG